AAGAGTTGCATGGAGGGAGAAGAATTTATGGAAGTACAAGGTCAAGTTATTCTCTGGCAAAAATAGTTCTGTTGGGTTAATACAGGTCCTGTAGGTACTGAACTGTTACTTTGTGGCAGTCCTGATGACTAATTTTTCTTCTGGTAGGAGTATGTTCTTGTAAGTGCTAAGGGCTTGTAACTAATTTCCTACATAAAATCCTGAACCTTTGCATTTAATGCAGACAAACCATTTATATGGACATTTTGTATCCACTGATCACATGCCTGCAACAGACTCAGAAATGCTTTGATTGCTTCTTGTCTGTTCCTGAGAGAACTGTGCCATCATTCTATACAATATTTTCCAATCAGGAATTTAACATTTGTTCTGGATCCTGGTACGTATTTCTTCCCCCTCTTTGCACCATGTTTTGTAAAGCGTAATGACATTTCATAATGGTTTTCCCTTTAGTCTCCCAGCCACTGGATTAATTTGGCATTTCTGTGGCCTGGCTCTCCACTGATGCAAAAACAGATCTCTAAGAGCAACGAGCATTGGGTGCAGCCTGTGGGTCCTCCTCAAACAGCATCAGCTACAGCACTTAATATTCCAAAGCAAGTGAGATAAACCCCAAAAATTTTAACATGTATTTTTCCCCACAGAATATGACATCATTTATTAAAATTGGAAAGACTTTCATGTTCTGCTACATGGAACTGTATGCACTGGGAGGACCTTCACAGCGTCACCTAATAGTTTTTCCTTGTCATGGCCAAATTATTCTCATATTAAGTTTCAGCTTTCAGAACCATTACTAATGTCAGACTTCAGAGTTGTCTTTGATGTCTGGAGGAGGCAAATTGGTACATAACTGGCTGTTCTCTCTCCAAAAACAATGCCTCGGTCAGTCTGTACTTGTTGGGCTTGGGGCTCCTGCTGATCCTTCTGAGTAGCACAGCCTTACCCAGGCAGCAGCTGATCCCAGAGGCCCTCCTAGGCAGCCCCCCAACTCTCTGCTCAGCCAACAGCCCTGATTAATAGACTTGGCTAATAGCTTCTCTTAATCGTTTATTCTGAAGGAGGAATATGCAGAGGTTGGCTGGCAGGACTTCACACAGCCAGCTTACAGAAAACTTCTTGGGCTGCCTCAGTTTCCCTTTTCTGTCTATGGATTTCCACTTCAATCTGCAGGCTGCTGCCTTACGTGAATAGTGTGATGACCCACCCTGGACACACCTAGAAGCCTTACATGAGTACAGCAATACATTTTTCATCTACTTCATGACAAGCTTCCTTTTTAAGTGAAATGCCCTCATATATACGAAAAACACGCACGAACTGAGTACGCGTCAGGCCTTTCTATCAGTTCCCTTTAATTCATGCTCCTCCTCTCCACCAGGCATCAACAGAGCTCCGCTCTCTTTTCATCAGCCACCAAGCTTACATGTGAGACTGAGCTTAGAGTTTGGAGAAGGCGGCTAGGAAGAGACAGTATATTTATAAAGGACTGGGCGAGCATGTATGATACTTCCCTGCATATTCCTCCAACCACTATATGGCTCAGATTTTCTGAACCAGAGGCATATCTACGTATGTAGTATGTGTGTACACATGCCCACAGAAAAATCTCTCTCACAAACCATATATACACTCATATACTTACAAGTGTGTGCATATGTGTATATTTTAGTATCTAAATTATATGTGCACATGATTTTTGTTAATACTTTTATTAATAAAGTGTTAGGCATTAATGCTTCTATTTTTACCTACCATCTTTTTCATTGTTACTGTCTTCTAAAACAGACTGTACTCTCCATGTCCATCCATACACACAACCCTGTATATAATTGGCTTCTGAGCTTCAAATGCCAAGTAAGCATACAGTCAGGCCAGATTTTTTTTAAAATATCTGATTTGTAAAAATACTATTTATACTTCTACTGTTCCCTTTGAAGTTCTTTGTTAATTCTTTTCTGGCCACATTTACTTCTTTCGTCTGTGGAAATATGTGGAAATCAGATAAGAGAAAGATAAAGGAAACACTACTTAGGTTTTTAGGCACAAATTCACTTTGACGGGATCTCACACAAGTTTAAGTCTGGACCTGTATACAGATCTCTGCAAGGCAAAAGCGTTATAATTGTCAGCACAGCACCAGCTCTGTGTCAGGTGTTTGAAAGATAGCTTTTTATCCCCGGAGCTCTTCTCCCTTTTTGAAAATTTCTTAGATTGTCAGTGGTTTAGCATTAATTACTTTTAAATTATGCTAAACTGTTTTCCTAAAAATCTGAATGTTTAATTCATAAAGGCATTTTGAAAAGAACATTTCCCTATGCTGTTTGCTTTGGTAACAGCAGTGTCATAGCCACAAGAAGACTCCTCAGCAAGTAAATGACAGGTCAGCAATCATAAGCTTGTTGGATTTTGGGGCTTGCCTTTGAAGTGAGAGGGAGAGTAATGAAAGGGTTCACCCTGAGAGGCTGTGGCAGAAGGCAGGCTAGAGAAGAGACATGCTCGGATGTACTCCTCGTTTTTACTGGGACACTTGGTGTTTATAATGCAGACCTCTTGGAAAGGTAATGTAGTTGATTGTTACTCACCAATCTCTACTTTATTTCAGCTTGACAGTTCTCCAGGCACTAGAGGATGGACTGAAGAGAGCAGATGCAGATCCCTCAGTGAAAGCTGTTATGATTTGTGGTGAACATGGGAAATTCAGTGCAGGTAAGACATTTTTCATCAAACAGCCCAAGAAAAAGAGGAAACACACTCCACCCACCACATTTGAAGATTCTCTGCCTCGTAACACTGCTGATAAAAGTCCTGATTTGGCTGGAAATGGCCACAAGACAGTGGGCTTTTTCTGTTCTGCTGTGCCACACTTGACATGGAGCACATGACAAGTTGGACTGTCCAAGCCAGAAATAAGTTGGTATGTTCATGCTGAAGTGGGGGATAGCTTCTCATCTCCCTGATACACAAAGCAAGCCATGGAAAGTAAGGAGGCATCAGTATAAAATCTCTGGACCAATAAGTGGTCCAGTGTATGGAACGCATAGAGCAGTGAATAACGTATCTTCTCCAGTTGTAGAAACCTGGGAAGCTAGGGGATTTCTGTGGACCTCTACGTTGCTTGTTAGTAGTAACTTGTGCTTAACTAGTCCAGACTCAACTACTTTTCTTTTTTTTTTGTTAACCAAGCATGTCTGCAGTTTTCTGTAGTAACTTGCTACAGTTATGCATTTTTGTACTGCCTTCTCCTGAGCTTTCTGACTAGCCTCAAGGAGCCAGGGTTTCTTGAAGGTGGTCCCAAAAGGGGTTGATTCCTGTTAACCTCTCTCCTGCCAGCAGCATGCTCTGCAAGGACTTGATCGTCTGTGACCAGCTATGTTCAACGGCAGAGGGAAGGACCATTCCAATCACTGCCTTCCCCACTAAGTCCTCTTCATGTCTTTGTGTTAACTCAGGAGCTGACATTCGAGGATTTTCTTCTCCAAAGAGACAGGGTACTGCCTTGGGCTCCATCATCTCTCTCATAGAAAGGAGTGAGAAGCCTGTGGTGGCTGTGATTGAAGGCATTGCCTTGGGAGGAGGCCTGGAGGTGGCACTTGGCTGTCACTATCGGATTGCACATGTGAAGGTAACATACGCTGTGAACTAGAGAGGCTGGTGAAGGCGTCAGGAGCCATGTACATATGGCCACGGACAGCATGGGAGGCCGCTCCTGGAGAGCAGCAGGACAGCATGCCTTGCCTGGGATCATCTGCTCAGAGGCTTTACAGCTACAGGATACAAGTCTCTGTGCTCAGACATTCTTCACCTACACCACCACCCTTGACATTCAAGTAATTTCTAAATGTAAATATAAAATTGATTTGTAACTAGTAGAATGAGGTGGCTGCATAGAAACTTCAGTAATCAGGTGTTAGTTTGCCCTAGATCTCAGTAGTCATTATCTATATTCTGATGTAGATGGCTGTATCTTACTGGCTCATGCAGCATGACTTTTTTTTTTCCCCCAGCCCTGTGAATTTTGCATTTCTTTCTGCTAGTGGCCTAGTTTCAATAGGCAGTTGAAACTCAGCTAGCACAGAGCATTTACAGTTTGATTCCCCCTGAGCTCTGGTTCCTCAGGGAGTACTCTGATCAAAAGACAGCTTTAAGAGTCTTTTAAGGAGTGATCCCTTTTTTTCTTGAACCGTTTCCTTCAAGATTCAGGAATACTGAATTACCTTTTAGCAGTAGCTGGTCTCCTTATAGAGACTGTTCACAGATAGGGCCATCCCCTCGCTTCTGCATGGTGAGTCCCTGTTTCTCCATGACACTGGGCAGCTGTAACAACATAAAGAGGTATTCTACATCACCCTATATGCCACCTAAGGTGGGTGCCATAAGTAGTGGTCTTAAAGTGACTCCCAGTCTCTTAAGAGCTCAATGGGAAATGTGCAAACTGATTTTTTTTTTTTTAAAACAAGGCAACAAAATCTAGATAGACTTTTAAGACAAGACACACACCTGCCCTTCCTTTTGCCCCTGGCTTCTCTGCCGTAATCCTACTGGACATCAAGTGCACCAAGAGCCATTTGAAGGAAACACATCTGAAGGAAGATTAAGGAAGAGTTCAGTACCAATTTTCCTTTACTAAACTTCCAAGAATTAGAGCAGGGAGGTAACAGCGAAGTCATGGAGTGTCCTCCAGTATTTGGTAACAACTGCTTGAAAGTGTTAGTTACACATGGGTCAATCTAGGGAATGCTGTTGCCCACACAGCTCTCCTCCAGTGCTGTGCTAGCACACACATTGAAAGGTGATGTTTTTCTTGTGCATTTGTACAAAAGTTCTTGAAATGTTTGAGTGAGCTTTTGTCTTAAATGTCAGGCGGCAAAAAGCAAGGATGAAGTTTCTGTGTAGAAGTTTTGAGGCTTCCTAGAGGAGCAACACGTGAGTCAGGTCTGCTTGTCTTTCCTCTATTCTGCTCAGTTTGTAATTATCACTCTTTCTAATCAGATTTGTTGTTGATTTGATTTCATTTTAGGCACGGATGGGTTTACCAGAGGTCACCATTGGGTTACTTCCAGGTGCTGAAGGCACTCAGCGACTACCCAGACTGATTGGAGTACCAGCTGCTCTGGATATAATCACTACAGGTAAAGTACCGTGCCTTGGCCTTGCTCTGTGTATAAGAATGCAGCATTGAGCCATACCACCAGCTTGGTCTAAGAAACATGCATTTCTTTTACCCATGTAGCTGCTTGGGTTGAAATTCAGCTTGCTTCCACTAATGATGATCTAAGAAAGGGACATACGTGCTCCTGAGACACATAGTTAGAAATGCATTTCATGTGCCTGATAACAAGCACGTCTTGTATTCGAAGCCAGCTACACACCAGTCATTTGATCAAGTGGAAAAGAATGAAATTGCCCTTAATGCCCCACTGTAGTCACCTTATTTCTCTTTTTATCACAGGAAGACACATTCCAGCAACTGAGGCACTGAAGCTGGGCTTGGTTGATGAAGTTGTGGAAGAAAACACAGTTGAGGCAGCAATTCACTTGGCAAACAGAGTGATTGGTGAGGAAGGAATTGTAGCAGTGCCAAGAAATAATTGGTGATGTTTCAGGGCTGAAGAGAGTCAGAACAAAGCCCACCAGTTTGTTCCAATTTATATGCTCCATTCGTTGAGTTTTGGCATCCATACAATATAGAATTAATTGCAGAATTTGTTTTCTGTTGTCTGAAGTGAAAAATTCAGATGCTGGAGGGCTGTAGAAATTCAAGTGAGGATTCAGAGAACAGATACAAATCAGGTCCTCCTGCTTCTTAATTATATATCCAAACTCACATGCTCCTCTGGGCTGCTGCACTCCACTGATATTGGGGAATATGTGCTCTTTCCATATATAGTTTTGGATCACAGCTGGCTCTGCATGTATTCTGGTTGCACCATCAATAACGGCTAATCAAAAATAGCTCCATCCCTCTAATGGAGGGGCTGGCATGTCCTCAGCCAACTTAATGATCCACAAGTCTGTAAGTGACTCTGTCCCTAATCCCTTAGCTGCTATGTAAGAAGATGGCCTGTGGAGGTGGGAGGGATGTGGAGAGATTTTTTTTTCCCTCTGCATTAGAAATAACATCATCAAAATCACTGGAGTTAACACAGGGAGAGGAACATTCCTTGGGCAGCATGAGGAGCATCACCTTGAGAGAAGACAGGATTTATTTTTTTTCCACTCCTAACCTCCTTGTACCTTTGGAAACAGACCATTAACTTCCATCAGGAGCTCCATCACAGAGATGCATGCAAGGAAGCAAAAACTCCTGCTTTGATCGCAAGGCCTTTATAGGCAATGCTTTTCCAAGCTGAGGTGGTGCTTTTGCTCCTGCAGCTCTCTTCACTACAAACAAGGCCTTTTCTTCTCTGTAGGAGAACTTCTGTGCTAGAAGTGGAAGCAGCCTAAGCTTTGTCCTAGATGACAGAGTTACACCATATTTTTAAGATAGTTCAATGAATGGGCTATTCTTAAAGATCAGTGTCTTGCATACTTCCCTGCAATTTGAGATTTACCAGGTAGGTGAAAAAGGGCATTCTTTGGCTAGGTTTTCTGTAAGGGATGCCCTTCCTTCTCACTGTATTCATCCTATCCATCCATTTTGGAGCTTCATTTTTAGTGCAGAATTGATGACCTAAGCAGTCTTCTTTTTTCTTTCCCTTTTTTAGACTATTTAAGTATAATTCTTTAGAAAGACATGGGTGATGTCCTTCACTATTGCTTCTAAGAAAAACAAAGATAATTTGGTTCACTGATTTTTGTCTGTTTCAAATGAGAACTCTGTTCCTCCATCTGCTGGGAGGGCAGTGAAACATTACTACTCTTCTAGGCAAATTAACCCAACAAAGTGTTCCCTTTGATGTAACCTCTGGGCTTCTGAATGATGCCCTGCATAAGATCTATACCAGTACCAATGGCAGCAGCAGTGTATCGTAAACACAGTAATAGAGACATTGCTAAACCTGGAAAACCAGCAAACATTCTGGATTTCAACAAATGCTATGTGAAATTGAGTGAGATTTAGATACTTGTGAGCTTATTTCTTCTGTGACAGACATTGTGCAGTCGTTGACAGTTGTGAAAGTTAGCTTGACCTTCGAGGAGAACCTCAGGAATGAGTCACTGAACACACTAATGCTTGGTGTAACTTGCTTTCTGGAACTGATGTCCACTACCCCCTACTGGCAAATTCCTCTTCTCTAGCTTCATTTTCGTTGGAAATTGTCACTACCAAGAAAAAAATTTGAGAATTGTATAAGCATACAGGGATCATAGCTGGATGTTCCGCAGGGACCTT